AAGGGGGAAAAACAAACAAGTGGGATTAGGAGAAGGGCCGCAGTTAAAAAAGAGTTAAAAAAAATAGAGGGAAAGATCAAAGCGCTGGGTAAAGGACTCTTCAAATTACACGTTTGAAGCTTTTCCATAATTCCAAGGCGACAGATAGATAACAAGCTGCACATTCCTTATCACATATGGAATCAATCTGAAAGGAGTCTCTTGATCAGAATCTGTTAATTGCAGTGACATATGATTTGGAAAGAAAACACAATTAATGACCCTTCATGTTAAGGCTTTGGGACGAGGCCACTGACAATCCGCGCTCTGCAGCCAATGTCAACTTTTTTTTATTGTTATTATTAGTATTGGTAAACTATTAAAGGGAGACATTCCTCGAGCCTCGGCGACTGTTTTGTCTCCGTTCCCGTTGCAGGTTTCTTCAGAAGGGGGAGGAGAAGAGAAGGGGACGGGAGTGCGTGCGCGCCTTTCCTTCAAGGTTTGGGGAGCTAAAATGATTTAGTACCTTGTCTGTAAATCTAATGACCTAAGGTGAGAAAAAATACTTCATCTTTTATTATTACCATTTGTGGTGAGCGTTACCAGGAAACAGCAGAACCCGTTTGAAATGGTAAATATATGTATCCATTTAAAACCCATTATTGCAGAGATTTTCCCAAAGCGAAATAAAGCCAATCTCCCCAATCCCATTTTCTAGCGCCCTCTGCCCACGGCTCCCCTTGGCTCCGCCGCCCCTTCCCGTGAACCGGGACTCCTGAGCCTCGGCCGAACCTTCCCCGGGGGGGAACAGCAGCGGTGGGTGCTCCGGGGCTGTTTGTGCATCGCGCATCCCGTAGTGTTGGGAAAGGAGGGAGCAACATTTTTGAAAGCTTTGCTCGGTCATTAAAAGGTAATGGCTTTGTTTTAGAAGGGAGAGAGGTTCATTTGAAGGTTATAAAGCATACACTTTAATAGGATCGAAGTGAAATTAGTTAATAAGAAAATGCTGGCCAGAAGCTCTCCGGGCTTTTAAGTGCTCTCCAGGCCATTTAGGGAAATTGAATAAGAACAGACTCCGTTACCTGCAGACCCAACTATTATCTCCAGTTCTGCACAGAGGCGAGAAGGGAAAAATGGTGCCTGAGAGACCTGAAGTCCTGTACACCTCCTGCCAGCCTATTTCCTCGAGAAATAATGTCCCCTTTCTGCTCGCAACCGTGTTCTCCTCCTGCTCCTGCTTTTAAGCAGACTAGACTACACGGTGTACCACAAGGGGGTAAGCAAAGGTAAGGGGCCATCAGCAGATGCTGAAGGCTCCGGGGGCAGCTCTGAACAGCAGCCTGGTCCCTGCCTGGGCAAAGCTGGCCTCTTGGTGTTATTTTTTCCCTTTAATTTCTCTGAGGTTTTCTTTTTTTTTTTTTTTTTTTTCCCTACCATTGTGGTGCTTTGCTGATTTGCGTTCGGACCGTTGCCAATAGGTCAGTATATTGTGTTACCGAACTTCCTATCTGCTCCCTTTCTCCCTCCCTTTAAACTTTATAGTTTTTAGAGGTGTTAATAAAACCTTTCCTTTGGTAAATCGTTCATTAGAAACCCCACGGAAACCTGGAAAGACTTCAGAAAAAGAAAAAAAAAAAAGAAGCAGCGCTCAGGAATGAGAGGTTGGGAGAAGGCTTTTGTCCAAAAAATGCATAATTGCTGTGAATCTTAGGAAACATTAATCTTTACAGGAATTTGTGATTCATATCTGTGGTTTGACCGTTTAGGTGATTTACAATCTGTTAGTGCAATTCACTAATTTTATGCCAATATATTTTATGCACCCGGTTAGACTTTCCATCGGAATGAGTGGCTTTTGTGCCTTGCTGGTGTCCGTGTGGCTCTTTGACTCCGACCCCCGGCGGGGGACGTTCCCGGCGCTGCTCGGGAGCGGAGAAGCGGGCAGAAACTGCACACAACTGTGGGAAACTTCCCCTCGCCATTTTGCCGTCCCATCACCTTTCCTCGCCCGCAGCCCCCCGGAGTATTATCGCCCGGGCAGGGGCCGCCCCCGCCGAGCCCCTCCGCGGCTGCGGGACTGTGCGCGGCTCCGGCAGCGGCAGCGGCACCGGCGGGAGGGCTACAACCTTGGTAAACCGGGGCCGGGGATATCCCGGGTTTCTCGAGCTTTACCAGCAGGTTTAAACCCAAATTATTCCCCTCCGTTCCCCGGTACGCCCTCGGCAGAGCCTTTTGCACCGCGGGGGGGGGAGGAGGCTCACACCGCCTCGGGCACTGACCCGCCCCCCCGGGGCCGCCGCGGTGGGTCGGTCCCGACGGGACGGTTCCTCTCCGGACTTCCCCGGCCGGGCACCCCCGTCCCTCTTCCCTCGTCCCCAGCCCGCCGGGAGGTGATTCCTCCCGGGAAGGGGACGGTGCATCTGGCGGAGGACGCACAGGTCGTGCGTCCAGGTCGGACGTGGCGGTGCGCCGTGCGAGGGAAGTGCCACTCAAAGGACGACCCTGGGCGCTCTTGGGGTGTGCGTGGAAGAGAAGTGGGGCATTCCCCGGGTGAGATGCTTCAGCCGCTCTCCGGCCGCCGCACGGGAGAGCCGGGGCTGCGGAGAGCTCGGTGTCATTTGTAACCGGGTTTATTAGCTGGAGGGGAAAACACAGGCGAAGAAAAGGAGCAGCAGCTGCGCTGAAGATAACACTGCGCGGAGTCTAATCTTGTGACACAATCATTAATTACGATTGTATTAATTACTATTTTTCCCAAACAGTCCCTGCCCGGAAGAGCTTACAGCCCACATCTGCTGTGTAATGATACTCTGGTTTAGAAACGATTCCCCCATTAGGTCCCAGGTAGCGTTTACAAATGGCAACACCTACACTATCAAAGCCCGTCATCTTGCAGCCTGAGATTTTCTGTCCCACCGGCCTGGGTAGGACGATTTGATGCCGATAAAGTACATTTAAATATCAAAGTCTCTATTCACGTACATATTCCATCCAAACTTTTAGATCGCGATGGCGTAACTGCTTTATTTGCTCTTCATCCCACGGATGCTGCCTTATATCAGTAACAAACAAGCATTGATTTTATGGTAAAGTCACTTTGGGATGGGAATGAGTAACTCCAGGCAGTGCTATCACTGTATTACATGGAAATGGCCCAGGTAACAAGATGAACATTGATTCAGCATTATGTTTGATCAATAATGAAATAAGTAACTTCAGGGCCAAATTAAAATGCAAGCTGGCTTAACGCTGCCAGCTTCTGGGCTAAGTGACAAGGCTAATTCAGCAGGGAAATGGCAATATTTGCATTAGAGGCTGCATCTGTTGTTTGGTGGCAGAGGCTGGAGCTGCAATAACGCCGGATAAAACTGCGGGGAGCGGGTTTGAGGGGAGCCCTCCCGGTGCCCCGGGCCGGGGAAGGGGCGGGGGGGGTGTCCCGCCCCACCGGGGCAGCACCGCTTCGCCCCCCGCTCCCCTCGGCTTTCGGCCACGGTGGAACTGAGCTGAAAAAAAAAAAAAAAAAGGACTTGAGGGCGGGTAACAGGAACCCAGCGTGCTCCCTGTCGCAGATAACCAGATGGTGTTAGCACTTAGCGAAGGAAATATGCTTTTATAAACTCCTCGGCGCACGGGAGCCCGGGCCCGGCCCGCCCGGCCCCGGGGAAGGGGCCACGGTATATTTTGGAAAGAAACGGGGAAAGGGGAAGTGATTTAGGAGATGAGTGGGAGCACGACCGGAGCTCCCTGTATCGGCGGCCTTTGGCCCGGTTTATCTGCTGTTTTTCTCCATGGCCGGTTTTTACAGCTCTGCCATCATACCGGGACGGGTGACAAGCATTGATTTCCGATAGCGCTTCTCGCCTTCAGCCGGTCAGGCAC